GAACTGACACTTTATCGAAATACCCCTAGGCTCCAAAACACGAACCGAACACCCGGATCACTTCAAATACATCACTCGCACCCAAATAGGCCTAGATCTCACCTTTTCAAAGACCCTAATCCTTATGATGACCGATTTTTGGGCCACAACCTCGAATTAGGAATCGATTCGGAACAGGGAATTACAACCAATCTTAATGTGCTTTATCCGCTCATGGAAAATAGAATTCTTTGCAATTTGTATCGCACTTTTGTTATCACAATGTAGGGGAATAAGTGAAGAAATGTGAAGTCCCATATCTGGAAGAAGTCAATGTAACCAGATAATCTCACATGTAATCTCACATGTCGTCACGATACTCGACCTTCGTGGAAGATCTAGAGACAACGTCATGTTTCTTGCTCTTCCATGAAATTAGACTCTCCAAGAAACATGCAAAATATGGAGATGGATTTACGATCACCATCACAATCAGCATCACTATAGTTACGTAACTCAAGAGATGACTTCGGTGGAAACAAGAGGATCCGAAACTGAGTGTCACGAAGATATCTCAAAATACGGAGTACAACTCCCCAATGAACAGAGGTAGGAGCAGTAATAAACTGATTGACAACATGAACAGCATGAGCTATATCCGGACGAGTAACGATGAGATAAGCCAAACTTCCCACAATAGTGTGGTAAAGATTCGGATCGGATAAAGGAACACCATCAGTAGGAGAGTATCGTGTATTGGTTTCAAAAGGAGTATCTACAATCCGATTGTTAGAGAGGCACGTCCATGTAAACAAGTCAGATATATATTTTGTCTGAGAAAAGAAGATACATTTTCTTAGACTGAGCTACCTCAATACCCAAAAAATAACGCAGCAAACCCAAATCGTTCATAGCAAACCGATGAGCTAGCTCATGCTTCAAAGACTCAATACCACCATGGTCATCACCAGTAATATTCATGTCGTCCACATATAAGGACAAAAGAATTTGTCCTGCACTCGTGAATCTAATAAACAAAGTCAAATCATGATTGCTCTGGACAAATCCAAAATAGGTAATCATTGTGGAGAATTTCTCAAGCCAAGCATCCTACACCCGTGCATCTAATAAACAAAGTCGAGTCATGATTGCTCTGGACAAATCCAAAAGAGGTAATCACTGTGGAGAATTTCTCAAACCAAGCGTGATGTGCTTGCTTAAGACCATATAAAGTTTTTCAAGGCCGACAAACCTCACTCAGTTGGTGCTGAAAGCCCGGGGGAGGAGACATATAAACCTCCTCATGGCAGTCACCATTCAAAAAGGAATTTTTAACATCCATTTGAAAGATCTTCCACTGTCTGCAATCATAGTACGGACTGTCATCATCTTTGCCAATGGGACAAAGGTCTCCTTATAGTTAAAACCATACTGTTGGGAATACCTTTTTGCCACAAGTTTGGCCTTGTATTGTTCAACATAACCATCAAACTTTGTTTTTATCTTTTACACCCAACGACAACCAATCATAAGTTTACCAGGAGGAAGAGAAACCAAATTCCATGTATGAGTTTGAGAAAGAGCAGTGAGTTCCTCAGCCATAGCATTCTGCTAAAGAGGATCTAATATAATCTCTCTATACGATTCAGGTTCAGACAGATGATGGATGTTGGCTATAAATTAAACAAATGATCCTGAGTATGTAGAGTAAGAAAAGGTTGGAAGCTATGTGGACTTGATATGACGAGTAAACCTCCTGAGGGGTGGTAGATGTGGATCTTCAATCTCAACAGTCGAAAGGACAGACTCAAGAACAGGAGGAGTCGAGGAACTCTCTGAAGGAGTGGGGGTGTCATGAACTAGAAGACCAGGCGGCATAGATGAATCTTGAGCCTCTATATCCACATCAAAATGATCATTATGCAGAAGTTTTGACTTCGTTACAATGTAGGTTGTAGCAGGAATCAAGTAGAAAGGAATATGTTCCAAAAAGATGACATGTCGGGAAACATATAACTTCTGACTCACAGGATCATAGCAACGATATCCTTTCTGTCTAACACCATACCCCAAATATACACAAATAGTAGATTTTGGCCCCAACTTGTTTCTTTCAACATGAGTACGAAGAACAAAACAAGTACATCCAAAAACTCATAGAGCAGAGTAGTTTAGTAGGTGACCATATAGCTTCTCAAAATGAGATATTCATGAATTCAATGCAGTAGGGATAAGATTAATCACATAAACAACAATTGAGACTGCTTCTCCACAAAAGGTACTAGGGACCTACGCAGACGAGCAACGAGCAGGCTTTCTCAACAATATGACAATCTTTTAGTTCTACCATATTGTTTTGCTAAGGAGTGTCAGTACACGATAACTGGTGTATGGTACCATTAGAAGCAAGTAACTGAGTAAAATCGTTAGAGGTATATTTGCCCCTAAGTCACACCTAAAACACTTTATCACAGCCCAATGTTGAGTTTTAACAAGAGCTCTAAAATTGTTGTAAATGCTAAGGAAATCAGATCTCCGTTTCATAAGATAAACTCAGGTGTAGCGAGTATAATCATTTATAAAAGATACATAATAGGTCGACACACGCTTTGTGGATACTGGTGCAGGACCCACACATCGGAGTGAATAATATCAAAATGAGCAATAGAACAAGACATACTTTTAATGAAAGGTAAATGAGAGAATTTTGCCAATTTACAACCACTACAATCAGAAATATGACAAGTGTTCAAATGACCCAAACACTAGTAGATGATAGAAAACATAAACGCGATACAAACACATGTCCCAAACGAGAATGCCATAGATAAAACTAAGACGAAAAATAACTCAAACGAAAAGAAGACAAATCAATATTAGATGCAACAACAACAGACACTTTGAGAACCTCCAAGACATAAAGTTACCCCACCTACGGCCGATCCCAACCACCTTCTGGGTGTGTTGATCCTGTATAACACAGATGAAATCAAAAAAGAACACCTAATTACCAAACTTACACAGATGACTGACCGAAGCAAGATTTAAAGTGAGTTTACGAATGTAATAAACATCAGAGAAAAAAAATATAAGAGATAGAAACATACCCAACACTCTCAATTGTCATAGATGTATTACTAGCAGACATAACAGATATAGATGAAATTTGTGACAAAAAATAAACGATGACAAATAAGGAGACATATGATGGGTTACACTAGAATCTAAAATCCACAAAGATGAATAGATACCTAGGGTACGAGATAAAATAGGACCAGAATGAGACATAGATGCAGACATAGCAGTAGGATTAGAAGCCAAATATTGTCTGAAACTCTCAAAAACCTTGGGATCCAACGCAGAAGGTGGCATGTTGCCAATAGACTCAGTGTCAACTGATGGTGCAACAGCAGCAACGAACTGTGGAAGGTGAGGTATCCATAGAGTACCAGAGGAACATGGTTGAAACTTCTGCTGACCAGACCTATGTTGTTGTCCCGACTGAGGCTGTTTACCCTTGTTAACTAACAATGGACACTGAGCTTTCCAATGATTTTTCTGTTTGCAGAAGGCACACTCATCATAAAAAACCCTTAGAGTTTGTCGAGGCTGATTAATAGGAACAACAAACATATCATGAGTGGAAGTTACTTTAGACCCTTTATTTGCATGACACTTGATATAGGTCTCTTCTACAATCAATTCATGAACAACATAATTCATTGAGGGAAGAGGGGAATGATGAAGAATCATTCCACATAGGCCTTCAAAATCCGAAGGCAATGCCATTAAAAATTGGATCAAACGTTGTTCTTCCCTCCTAGCAATATAAGGCTTAAACTCTTTTAATTCTTTAGATTCAGTAAGTGGCAATTGATCCCACAAATCTGACATAGAAACATAGAAATCTTAAATACTCATATCATTGTGTTGAAGGGCACGAATATCATATTCTAACTAATATTGTTTAGCAAAGTTGGACTGAGTATACAGTCTCTCCAAATGATTCCAAGCTTCCTTTGTTGTGTCATACTTAGCTAATTGCATACCAATATACTGTGTAACAAATTATTAATCCAAGTAATAACCTTGGAGTTATCAGTCTCCCAAGTATCAATCAACAAATCAAAATTCTCAACTTCAGGCACTGAAGATTTAGCTTTAACTCCATAAACATAGCCTCACATATTCTTCCCACGAAGGAAGTTTTTCATAACATAGCTCCAATACGTGTAATTTTTCCATCTAATCGAGTACTGATTGACTGAAGGGAATCATTATTTTCCAATCATGTTGGCAACAGATTGATAACCACAACGAGAACGACAACAATAATAGACAATCAATCAGAACAATATTCATATTGACATAGAGAAAGTGCTAATTCTTCATTAGAAAGTCTTAGAGCTACAAACAAGAAGAAAAAGATTAAATAGCTAAGGAACCAAAACCTAATGGGCTAATAACGTATGGGCTAACACTACCGACAATACCAAATCTCGAATTTCGTGATTATGGAGTACCCGACTACCATCTCATATTTATAACTCAACATCGGTACGGGATCCGAATTTGGTACTATATGCTCATCCCCAATTTGATATATATTAATTTGGATATTTTTGTTGGACAATATTTTATTTGTGATTTGATATGCATTAATTTGAAGTTGTATTTATTAATATGTTTATAAAAAATGATTAAAGAAGAAAAAACATAATTATTAAAATTAGGTGAATCTTTCATTTGATAAACGAAATTTAAATATTAAAAAAGTTAAATATAAACTGAGAATTGTATAAAGAATGATAAATAAGAAAAAAAGAGTTAGTTTATGTGATTTAAACGGTAGGCCGATGCACAAGTGTAGAACAAATAAAGGTAGTTTAAAAGATGTTACCATATGTAGAATTATAGATTTAAATAAGGGTAAAATTGGTAATGCACATAAATTTAAGTGGATGAATTAAAAGCTGATGTGGACGAATCACTCCCCAATTAAAATGTATTACAAACCATGTCTATAGTTTAAACACTTCCTTATGCTGATTAAAGTTTACGTATAAATACCATGAATTTAATAAGATTAATTATAAAAGGCTAATAAATGAAAAATAAAGTACCTCATAGTTTGCAGGTGTCTTATCATCCACAAAGAAACTATCATTTTGAATCGATGACAGCAAGCTTTCTCCTCTTACAACAAGAAAGGAGTCTTTCCCCTGATCAAAATCTAACAAAAACAATTTAACTTTCTATACTTTTAAAATTGCTTACTTTTTATATGCAAAAACACACATACACACAAATACACTTCAACCTTCAGTAATTTTATATATTTTGAATCAAAAGTAAAGCCCTCCTTTTAACAAAACTGGTTAAAAGAATAGGTTGCATTTTATGGTATTTTTGAAACTTAAAGCCCTATTATCACATTTCTTTCTTTTTTCCCTTAATTTTTTTCCAAAAATTTTAAGAAAAAGAACTTCAACATCAAAGTAGTGTTCAAGAATCTTCTCCATGATCAAATGACAATAGAAAGAAGCAAAATTACACAAAGCAATTGAAAGGAATAAGACCTTACTATAAACAAAATCATCAAGAGATGGAAAGATTTCTGAAGAAAACCTCGTTGAATTCTGGGACTTGGCTTCAGAAATCAAGTAAGCATAATCTGCACCTTTACTTTTCGATAAAACTACATTACTTTGTTTACTAGATTGACCATGTATTTGACTTTCTGTGATGATATCATCTTCATCTTCATCCTTATATCTGTCCCAATTAGAAGGGAGTGAAGATGAGCCATGAGATTTGTGGGGCTGTTCTTTAACTACATTCTCTGATGCCTTGAGTGTGCTAGAGGCTCCTACAGAGGTAGTAGTAGTAGTAGCTTTTGCCTTTTGATTTGGATGATGCTTCTTATGATGTTATGAATGCACTCTCTTTGACTTTGCTAGTGATTTTGTATCCATGATGGTGTTTTAATTCAATGCTCTTTTTGAAGGTCGGAAACATATTTATAAGAATAAGCAGTCAGAGTCAAATAAGCAAATAACAATCAATGTTGAGGAGAATGATAAGCTAACCCTATGCACTTCAATCTTCATGATAAGCTAAATTCATCCAATCCATTTTTATGTAATCAAACCCAAAATTTGAGTGTTCGGTTGCATTCTACATAGTCCAGATTCAAGAAAGGAACAAGCATCATACAGTCGCAAACTCTTTATGATTTAAAGGAGTGTTTGCAATTAAACACTGGATTTTTAAACTGTAATACCGTTGCTTATACTCTTTTGTATATGATAAGTTTATTATTATAATTTTCAAAGGAAGAATTTGTTTGAAGCATTTCATCAAACGGTTTATGAGCATACGAACTATGCAAATCAAGTAACGATGAACAACTTCAAAAGCAATATGCTTTGATAAAGAGATGGTCTTCGGATCCACCATCGCCGTCATCGGAGCTATCGACATAGATCATCCTGATCTGTACCTCTTCTTCTCTGATCTATAACCCTTCATATTCTTCATTCAAATACTAAATCAGTGATCTGTACCTATTTAAGGACCTTAAGTCCCCCAACTCCCTTACCTTTTTAGCCTCTATTTCCCTTGAAGTGCAAAACTCGAACCCTAAGCCACCTTAAAAGCATTTATGAGCTTTCTTGAGTGATTATGGTGTTCTTTAGTGACTTTGAAGGAGAAGGAAGCTTGGGAAGAAGCAAGGACATGAGAAGAGCTTGTAGATCCAGAAGTTTGGCACCATTTCTGACCCCTTGAAGGTATATAGTTTAAACCTTGATCATTACAAGCTTAGGTCTAGGTTTAGGGTAGGAAATGGTATCTTTTGGTCCCATAGTTTGGATTCTTGGAGTATGAGCAATTTCAGACCACATGAGCTGTCCTTTTGGACTCTTGGAGGTGTTTTGAGTCATAAAATCGGATCTTGATGTTAAGCCACAACCATGCAAGTGTTAGAAACCATCCAAGTGTGCTTATGGACTTGATGCATGATTCGAGCCCCATCCTTGCATGCAAAAGCATAAAGTTTGCAACTTTATGGCTTAAGACGTTATTAGAGGCCTGGATCTAAGTTTTGGACGTTAGGTCTTAATAGATTAATACATGGAAGTAAGTTTGGGTTGGCAGACCAGTACGCCATGCGTACTCTAGTGTACGTTGCGCGTACTGGGTTAGCGCATCGACTCCTGGTCAACACCAGCGTACGTTGGGCATACAAGACAAGTATGCCGCGAGTACGCAGTCAGCGGGCCTAAAAGATTTTAGGCTCGTTTGGTGTTGGGCTTTGGACTTAAGTAAGTTATGTCTCGGGCCCACCTGATTGTAGCAGGCCATTTTTGGGCCTTAGGCCTAGTTAGGTGTTCTTGGGTCATTTTAGGCCATAAAGGCCCTATAGTGGGCTTGGATGCCTTTTTGGGGTTTTCTTTTATGGATTTGGGCCTTGAAAGAAATAGGCCCAATGAGGCAAAGGTAAAGGAGCATTTTTGCCTTAAGTCAAGAATTAGGGTTTTGGACTTTCGGGTTAGAATGTGACCTAATTTCTAATTAGGGTTTTATGTTTGTGCGATAGGGAGAGGAGTTCACGAGTCATCCGTTGAGTACGATTTGATACGTGCAGTCGGAGGTGAGTCTTCCTTCGCAGTATCCGTGGGTCGAAGGCACCAAGGGCGGCCCACTAGTTTATGTGGTAGTATAATGATTGTCTTTGTGATAATTGTTATTTATGCCTGTACTTGTTTGATGACTCTGTGATTTCTGTTATGATATTATATGGTAGTAGTAAGGGTGAAATAGACCCGGTATCCAGTTGAAATAGACCGAAGGGGATTGCATGCACCCAGATATGCTTGATAGTATCCGGTTAAAATAGACCGAAGGGGTAGGCAAGCACCCAGATATGTTTGGTGGTATCCGGTTGAAATAGACCGAAGGGGTAGGCAAGCACCCAGATATGTTTGGCAATATGTTTTTTTAGTATGTGGTATTTTGGGGGAACTCGCTAAAATTTGTGCTTACAGTTTTCAGTTTATGTTTCAGGTACTACCAGTTCGAAGGAGAAGGGCCCGACCTGATCGCACCGTATCACTCTATGATTTTCCACACTTAGTGATTTTGGGAATTTGTACTCTGATAACATGATACAATTATACTCTTTGGCTATTTTGATATCAATTTCTTATGAATTGAATGAATTTAAAAACAAAATTTTTATCTGTAATTTTTGGGATGTTACACCTGGTACATGGAAGAAGATTGTTGTTGGCTCATAACCTCTGGACACAAATTTAAAAATGTTGTTCCTATGAAATCTTTTGTTGTTTGCAAAGTTTCGGGTTCAACTATATCAGGTTAACCCTGATGGTAAATCTAAGTCTGATGAAGAATTGGAAAATTTTAGATTGTGGGATATCAAAGAAAGACGAAGGGAAGTTGAATAAAGAGATGGAGAGGTTGTAAGACTCTGTTTGGAAGCTCTATAGCCAAAGTGGACGGTGAATAGGATCAAGGATTTGGCGATTAATAATGTTGAGCAATATTGGCTAAATTTGAGGGCATCTTTTGTTAGCAGAAACTCAGATGATTGCCAGCTTGATTTTCCTATCACTCCAAAATCATTTTTATGGAGATGCTTTCCGAACACCTATGAAGTTTCGTTGTCAAACTGTGGTTAGAACATAAAGCTTTTTTAGTCATATTCTTCACAATCAAGGCCACAACAAGAAGTCTGGAATTTGAAGAAAATCTTTTTTGTTGTTGATTATCAAACTAAAGCCTATCTGAATGATGTGTTTGTCGAATTACAAATTCAAAGCCTTGAGGGAAAGCGATCATGAAAAGTTACAATTTTATTTTGTTGATCTTCCTTTCATGAATCCTCATAATTGGTTCATGTTGTCTGTTGTTCCTACCAAAGAAAAATCAAAATACATGAATCAGATTATCCATCTGAAGAAAATGATAAGATTTTATTTTCTTGAGATTAGTAAGATGGATCAAAATACATGAATCAGATTATACATGAATTGGCAGGATTTTTGAAGAAAAAGCTTACAACCAATCTTTCTGATCAACCAGATAATATTCAGAACGGGAAAGATAGGCTGATTCAGAGTGAGCCTTGGGAGTTGTGTATACAACCTTGGTGAACAATGTAACGACCCAAATTCCTTCCGTTAGTGAAATTAGCGTTCCCTTATACGGGATTGAGTTTTATGTGTGTTTTTTGTTTAACGTTATGCCAATTATATGTTTAATAATAATAATAATAATAATAATAATAATAATAATAATAATAATAAGATACGAAGGTTATGAGTAATTCAAATAAAAGTAAAAGGTTGTTTGTAAACAAAGAGAGAAAGCTAAGGGTTCTATATTGTAAATTAGTTTCTAAAACAAATTCATACGTTATGTACTGCGTCCTAAATCCTAATTAAACGCTTCCATGCCACATGACCGTCACAATAAATATATATCGAGGCTTCGTTGATCATAACCGACACACCAAATGGATTACTAATAAAGGTTAGGATATGTTGGGATTAAGGCCGAAAATATGGGGGCCAAATTGCAAAAAATAAAAACGTTATGAATACCCCATGAAGTCGTCGATCAGGTTTAAGGGCCAAAAAACCGTTCGTTCTTTCTTCCTCCATCCCTATACATGCGTTGTAATCACCCCATCAGTGCTTTTCTCGGGTTGCGACGTGATCAGAGGACAAAAGAAAAGGAAACGTGCGTGTGAGGAGGGAAAGAAGAACACAAGTCGAAAGTGAGAGACGGGAACAGTGGAAATAATAGTCGACTTCACAGGGGACGACCTTGAGGCTGTTTGAATCATTTTCTCCTTTGGTAAACCCTTAAATCTTCATTCTCTTGTTACGATTCAATTGCTTGGAAATTGGGTTGAAATTTATAACCATCTTGAAGCCAAATTGTTTCCTTTTTGATGTTTTTTAATTCCATCTTCTTTCTCCTTACAATCTTTGAATGTTCATATGTTTAATTCTAGTTCTATTGGATGTATTTTGATGGTTTATTGCTGTCAAAACTTGTTCATGAACACCCTCAATAATTCTTAGTTCATGTTCATGTATTACTCCATGTTTTGGAGACCTTGTTTCTTTGTTAATTACTAATTTGAACTTTGGTGTGAGGATGAAATTGCTATTAGTGTTTCTTGACAAGTTGCTACTGTAAAGAACTCAATTTTTTATCTTTGTGGGTGCTTTTGGTTATGACTTAATAAGTTAAGTGGTCAAAAAGTCCTTGAAATTCAAAGCTGGAAAATTCAGCAAAATTACCAATCTGTCCCTGTCTTGAAAAAAATGTAGAAAAATCATCAGAGGTCGTATTGATGATCCGTAAACTTTCAAAGTTTTCATTTTGGGTCTAGTTTATCCATGATTTTTCCCAAGAGCTGGTACTGTCCCTAACCAAGGTGAAAGTCGTCTTTTTCACTGACTGGTCGGAAATTAGCTGCACGGATAGGCTGTCTTGCAAAATTCATAGTAAATTGTAGAAAAATAGGTTAGACCTGTGTGAGTAGTACTTTTAAAGATAAAAGTATGAAATACCTGAATATGAAATAAAGTTAAAATTTTTACAGGTTTAAGTGGTGCTAAAGTGGCCTTGAACAGACTGCTGTTTCAGGTCAAAATCTGAGAATTTCACCTAATAACCAATTTGTATGTTTGGGTAGTAAATTGCCATAATTTGTTCATGTAAACTTCTAGTAATACGTATATTTGTGTTTAATAGTGTAAGGTTTATTACCTTAGATCATACAAGATTTAAAGTGTGGAAAGAGTGCTTGTTTGACAAAGGTGAGTCAATCTTGTTGTTGTTTAAAGTACTTGTTAGGGATTCCACATCTTAGAGGGATGGGAATGAATCTAGGTTGTTTAGGTTGCATGTACCCCAATTGTGAATGTTATTTCTATTTGAATGATGTTACCTTCATGCTATACTTTTTGGTTGCTATTTTGATGTGAGGGTGTGATAGGTCCATGATAGAAAGAGGGTTTTGTGTTGATTGTGTGTGAATATATGCATGCAATAATTTGTTGGTTATATTTGTCTATGTTGGTTAGGACAATGCATGTTAGTGATATAATATGCCTTAATGATGAAATTATGATATGCGCATGATTATATAAAGATGTAAAATGACTTTACTTGATGTCTTGTTGCATGTTTACATATTGTGAAGTAGGGAAGTAATATGCCATTTAATATTAATTAAAATTGAGCATGATTACTTAAGGGTGTTTGTAGTGTAATCCTTATGAGTTGAATTAATAATATATTAATTAAAAAGGGGAATACACTTAGTGGGGCGTAAAGGGTAGCAACCTAGACTTAGGTGTGTACCCTATCCGGATACTTGTGAGGGCCTTAGAGGTTGGAAGATACCTAAAGGGAAAGAGATTAAGCCATTAGTGACGTCGAGT